GGGTTGCCCAGGGCAGTGGTGGAGTCCCCATCCCTGGAGGGATTGAAGAGTTGTGTAGACACAGTGCTGAGGGACATGGGTTAGTGGGGGACTGGTCAGCGTTGGGTTCATGGTTGGACTTGATGACCTGAAAGGGCTTTTCCAGTCCAGGCCATTCTGGGATCCTGTGAAATCCTCTTGCCTTGTGTTGAAGTGGATAGAGACCTGTGTTCTCCTGGCACCGCGTTGCTGTTGATGCTCTGTGGTGCTGCAGTGCTGAGCCCTCACCCCAGGCTTGCTTTCTCTTATCCACAACCTCTCACTGAAGTTCACACACCCATAGCCCAACCCTGCACCCCCTGACATCACTTTGGGTTTTGCTGTAGGGTGAGCAATATTCAAATATCAGAAGATTTTAGATTTTCAGGGCTAACAGCTTCAGATGTGTCTAATCCAACGTGGAGCTATGAACAGAATCAATCTCTCAGCTGTTGGTGGAGCCTGTGTTTGCCGAGGTCTGTGTGAAATCCAGTGCTTTCCTTCTGGTTTTCTTGAGAGAGGAACCTGCGTTGTGTTTTCATCCCTCTGCTCCCAAAACCTCCTTTGTCAGGTGGTGGGGAAGGGGCTAAAGAGAAAAACCTGGTGAGAAGCTGCTTCCTTGTGCTGCTGTCGCTGGGGGGTCTGGGATGGGGCAGCTGACCTGGTGGGTTATCTCATTTTTATATCACACTGATTTTTAAATAACAAACAGTTGGTTGCTTATCTTTCCAGAACAGTTTGGACAGGATGGGGAAGCTTCAAGGTTTGGTGGAGGTTTTTGGATCACCTTCCACGCTATCTCCTTTCATTTCTCTGTGCTGATTTTGGCCTCCAGCCTTGTGCAAGAAGCTGGGGCAGACACAGGAATGAGGGCAACCAAATAAATTAATCTCTACAGCTTTTTCCTTTCCCCTCAGGTGGGTGTGTCCTGGCCTGGTCTGCACCTTGGGAGCCTAAAGTTTTGACTCCTACTTTCTTGGTCTGGCCATATTTCCTAAGATCCTTTTTTGGGTCCTGCCAGAAATTTGTGCTTTCAAAGGAAACAAAACTCCTCTCAAAAATGTTTTAATTCTGTGTTGCTGTGAAGTTTTGAATGTCACAGGGGAGAGGGGATGGCACTTGGCACGAAGGGGTAAGAGGGTCTGTTTGTTTCCTAGGGTTGTTCTGGGAGCTGAGAGCATTTCTGCTGCTGGGCAGAATCTTTTTAATCCTTACTTCTGCAATGGCACCTGCTGGGGAAAGTCGAGATTACAGCAAATTTAGGAAACCTCAGCTTTTGCAAACGTTGTTTCTCATATAGTTGGTGTTTAGAGACCTCTGAGAGCTGCTCTGGGGCTTTTCTTCCATGGGTTTAGGAATGAAATTTTCCCAGCAAATATATATGAGCCAAAAGTGTGATTTAAGCAGAAATTGTTACCCTGGAGAATAGCTACAAATAAATACACAGATTTACAGTGACTACAGTGGTTTGTCTTTGGTTGGAGAGTTGATTGATCCAATTCCTGAGCAACCTGAGTTCCTGGAGGGATTTAAAATCAGGGCTGAGATTTATTGGTAAAGTGCAGGAAACTGTCACTGTTGGAGATGTTTGGCTTTGTGATTTGAACCCATGGGCAGGAGGTGGAGAGCTCTGGCTGCAGCCCTGCCCCGGCTTTGTGAACTGGGAAAACATCCTCTGCTGGGTTTTTCCTTTAGTGCTTTGATGGTTTATGGCTGAGAAGAACAACAAAGAACCTGGATAAATATGCTCTCGAGTTCTCACACTGACTTTTTTTGGCACTAAACTCTCAACTATTACAAAATATACTGTAAAATAGACTCAGATCTGTGCTCTGGGTAAGAGTTTGACGAATTCCCCTTTTTCTGAAGTTGAAATATTTAGTGCTGTAGTTAATCAGTGTGTCCTGTCTGCAGGAGTTCTGCCTCTTTGCTGTGGTTGGCCTGGTGTCTGACTTCTTCCTGCAGATGTTTTTCTTCACTACTGTGCTGTCCATTGACATTCGCCGGATGGAGGTAAGGGAGGGCCAAGAACGGGGGGTTTGCACAGAATCACGGAGTGTTGGGGATTGGAAGGGTTAGGGTTAAGGTTATCATCCAATCCAACCCCCCAAGATCATCCAGTCCAATCCCCCTGCCAGAGCAGGAACCTAAATGAGATCACACAGGAAGGTGTCCAGGCGGGTTTTGAATATCTCCAGAGAAGGAGACTCCACACCCTCCCTGGGCAGCCTGTCCCAGGGCTCTGTCACCCTCACTGTAAAGAAGTTTCTTCTCAAGTTGAAGCAGAACCTCCTGTGTTCCAGCTCACACCCATTGCCCCTTGTCCTACCATTGGGCATCACTGAGAAGAGCCTGGCTCCATCCTCCTGATATTCACCCTGAACATATTTATAAACATTAATGAGGTCTCCCCTCAGTCTCCTCTTCTCCAAGCTAAAGAGCCCCAGCT